TTAGAATTTATTGGACTCCATTACATTTATATAGAAAAGGATTGTCAAAAACAGCATTTTGCTAGAGATGTAATAGGGATAATGCTTCTTTAAAACAGCTAACATTTTCAGAAGATAATATTCTTTTTAACTGTATACCTAGTACATGGAACTTGACAACCAGACCACATAAATGGATTCTCCGTGCCCTTATTATGGCCCAAAGACAGATATTGCAGCATTGGAAAGATAAATGTATGGCCCCATTTATTCAATGGATTGAAGACCTGATTGTACTTGCTACTTATGAGCGGATTGCATATAGATGTAGACTTTGTACGGACAAGTATAATGAAATATGGGACTCATTTATACAAAATACAGTAGGTTAAAAATGATAATTAGATAAATGTATTGGAAGTATATTTACTTGAATAATACTTGAATAATAGATAAGTATATATAGAACTGTAATTGTTCACTGTTACAATGACATTAACATTTTTTTCTTTGTTGTATTTCTTTCACTTTTTTGTTAAAGCTCTTTTAAAAAATAAGTTTTAAAAAATTGTAGTCAAGGAAAATATTACAAAGCCATTGTTGGATGGGATGTAACTCAAGAGGAATGGGATCTCTCAGGACAAGTCTGTCAGCAAGAGATCATTGAGAAATACGATATTCATGATAGTTATGTTCTGTAAAGTTGCTGCAAACACTGAATTAGCAAATACTGAACCATTGCTCCTAGGCAAAATACGGGACACTTGTTTATAGTATGACAGCTGAAACAAGAAGGCAGAGTGTTGCTTGGTTCAGCCTCAGCTGGGAAAGTGTGCATTGAGTGACTCAAATTTTTCACAACTCTGTGCATGTCTGCAAATGACCCTGAAAGCACTATGAGTGTTCATTTTGGGGTTACAAATAAATTTTAGCAAGTAGGCAAATTCAAAAATGTGGAATTCATAAATAATGAGGATCAGCGGTGTAGGAATTAAGATTGTCATCAGTGAATCCATGAAATGAATGGGACAGTTTCTACAATTTTTTTCATTAGATTAGGTGATGCTTTGATATGGCATTTGCAATATGACATATAGTTTCCAAGCATTATTGTTACTGTTATCATAACTCTGTAAGATCAATTACTATTAGTCAAACAGAATTTAAGAGAATGTATCTTGTTCCAGCCCTAACTTACTTGTGGATGAATCTGTGCAGGACAGCTCTATATTATTAGACTGCACCTTCAGTTATCTCATTCCATCCCCATGTTATTCTATCGGTTGTATATGTGACAAATATTCTATAGATTGATTATGTAGCATTTTGAAGTGTTTCAGATTACCAAATACATTTTTTTGTCCTTTTCAAACAGGCATATTACAGGAAAATTTCCTGATTATCCAGATGAAGGACAAGGTGGCTCAGCGGTTCTTTTCTCTGAAAAAACTCCAGAAGAGGTAGAGTTTATTTCAGTATAAATGTATATGCTTTTTACTGTCTTTTTAAAAAGCAAATAAACAAGTGACTCATGAGTTAAACATCCCCGAGCAAATTGCTACTGCTGATTTCCTTTAGTTCAATGTTATATTGCATTGTTTTAAAAAGTTTATGAATGTTATAATAATTCTACTTATGGCAGAGAACCAAAATGACCTGATACAGTAGGATCAGATTTCCACAACCAAGCATCCTCTAGCTGTATTAAACTCCAGTTCCCATTATCCCTGAAAGCATGGTGTGATGGGTTCATGTTCCCCTCGGTTTAGAACGTTCTTCTAAACAAAGGACCTGTTGAGGCATGCCCAGACTGAAACCTATGTGAATTCACCATGCAGGCTGATTTTCCTATAACTCAGCATAATATTAGACAGATATTTTAGGAATAACCTGGAAGACCTCTGATCGGGCCATCCCTAGGTACTGATCGGTCAGTTTGAATTTCTTTTCTTGGAAGACATTCTCACCCCTCTATGAAATACCTTGTGGGAAAATCTGCTTTGAATGATGCATCAACAGAGAGTAAAAACTAATTCCAGCTTTGGAGTTTTAGGAAATCACCCTGTAAGTATCTTCAGAACTCAGAGTCTTATGTTGAGCAAGCACCCATACAAATTGAATAAAATAAAAGATTCTGTATATATTTAAGCAGCTAAGGCTGTTAAGTTTTAGTTAATAGTCTGTGTTTTCTTTTAATCTGCATATGGCCATTTTGCTAAATCTTTTCATTAGTGTATTAAATTGAGAAGTAGAGCTTAGTCTTTTTGTCCAGCCTGTGGGAGAAGACTTATCCATATGTCTGACTATTGGGTCTACCTGCTTAGCTGGTTGTTCAGGAAAGAAAAGGAAAGCTCTGGAAAAGAGGCATGTAGGAAGACTTGGAGGCAATTTGTAAGAGTTGTGTGATCTTTGTACTAGTTATGGTTGCTTTAATGGTTTGAAGAGACATACTTTATTTGCACATAGAGAAATGCCTTGTATATCACCAAAGTACAAAATACAATTGAAATGCTGCTTTTGTCATTTGATCCCCACCTTGCCCAGAGATACCGCTAACATTGCTAACGTAGTATACTTCATTGGATACAAAATAAATTTTACAAAATATTCATAACAGCACGCTTAGTGTAAGCATTCACAGAAAGGACAAGGACAGAAATGTGCATCACAACATCACAATGCAAATAGCACCCTTAATGTATTAGTGTGTGATATCAAAGCACACGTGTATGTTAGAATGTAAACTCTCAGAGCTGGGAATAAACATGCAGGCGGCTGCTTGAAGGTGCAACTGCCCTGTAGGATTTCTTTAAAAAGGTAATTAGCCAGTGAAATTGACTAGGGGGCGTTCTAAAGTCAGGCACCCTACTGAGCTGGGGTTTCCTGTGTTTGCCTTATCTGATATTGTCTAATTGGAACGTAGATCTCTTCTGGAAGAAATCTTGTTATGATTCGATTTTTTTGGATTTAAGGAATGTTGGCCCTTCCTGCCCGGTCTTTAGTTATTTAATTTTGGGCTAGAGTGGGAGACTCTAGATTCTTTCTGTTATGTCTTAATCTTTTTAGGTGAGCCCATTCTTACTATAATTTCGTCATATGCCTTGATTGCTGTTAAGATAAACAATGGTAGGGTGAGACAAATAGGAAGCTTCGACTTCCTGCTGACATGGGGGGAAGAATTTGATTTCCTTCTCACATATAAAAGGGGGGCCCTTATGTTATGACACATGATGCATATTTCAGCAATTTGGTGCCACTGTGTTTAAGTTAACTGTGGATGCCTCTTACTTGGTACTGATATTATTATTATTATTATTATTATTATTATTATTATTATTATTCAACAGTGGGTTTCTAGAAATAGGGATACAAAGGCAAAGAATAGAAAGACTGCCAAGAAATGTTTTAGTGACTTTGAGTACAGTATAGACTAAATACTCGTTGTTTAAAAAAAACCTTAACCTCCCCCGAACAGTCATTCTACTGTAATTTAATGGAAGCCATGCCAACTACATTTTGCCATACTTCTGCTTTAGCAAAATGGATGTATAATCAGGTGCCATATATTCCAGATCATTTGTTCATTGGTTATAGCAATCTCTGTCACTCTGATAGATGACAGTGGGCTTTGTATACATTTTGAAGACAGCTTGGAAGCCCTCAGTCTAGACATCATGCAAAGTGAAGTGGCTTTCTCTGTGTCAGAGTATATAAAATGCTGGTTGAGGTTATTTACTTAGTTACTTAGTTACTTGCTTACTTGCTCATTCATTCATTCATTCATTCATTCATTAGATTTGTACTTGCTGCTATCTGCAGATCCTCAGCAGTTAATATACAGCAATCAACAACAATAAAAAAAACTGTAAGACTTCTGTGATACAAAAAAAATCATGAAATAAAATGAAATAAAGCAACAGTAATAAAATAGCGGCATCCATTCCCATCCTCCACAGCTCTCCAAATTCATTTTTAAAAGCTTACTGAATCTAACTTCCAGCAGGAGGGAAGAGAAGTTGATCTGTAACACAAAGGCCCCCACTGAGAAGAAATGCCCGCAAGCCTCATGAAAGTGGGCACCAAAAGCAGTTTCTCCCCAGAAGACTCTGGTATGTCAGTGCCAAGCAAGGAAGGGCTTTGCCTGTTAAAACCAGTGCACTTAGGGTTGGATAGGGAATAATTATTAACAAGATGACGCTTAAGATCAACTCATTTGTCTTTTTATATACCACCTTTAAGGTATTTTAAAATCTAAACAAATGTGATTCTTCCTGTCAGGTTGCTGCTGAGCTAACTGCTAAAGCAGAGGAAGAACAGAAAAAGAAAGGAAAGAAAAAGGGACAAAAGGGAAAAAAAGAAAAAGGCAAAACAAAGGGGAAGGGAAACGAGAAAGAAGAGAAGAAACCAAAGAAGAAAGATGAGGCAAGTCATTCTGAATCATAACTCATAACATGTATAAATCCAAAAAAAAGATGATAAAAACAATATGGATGTTTCTCTAATACAGTTTTGGGATTACCATGATTTGTGTTGGAATATTCTAATTTCATGGATGCATGTAGCTTTCAGTCTCCAGTCAGCCTGAAAGAGGAAACTTGGAGAGCTGTTTGAAAGTCACACGTTCTTTATCACTCTACTGAAACGTTCTGTGCTATAATATATAGGCGCTAAAGATTCAAAATCAGTGTAGCCTGTCTCCTACAATCCTGAGTATGTAGTACTACTATATGTAGTATACTGTATATATGTATGTATATGTAGTGTGCGTGTGTGTGTGTATCTCTATATATGTACTGTATGTATGTAGGATGAGATGTTTTTTAACCTAGTATACCCATTCCTCCTTCCAGCTCTGATGCTCACCTTCAGAACACTACAAGCTCTTAGGGATTCAGCCAAGTCAATTCTTTCCCTGTTTTCCCATCCCCAAATAAAGATCTGACACAACTGGTTTAACATCTGATTGCTTTGTATTGTGGGCAGAACAACTTTAAAAGGTTGCAAATTATATATAAGAATTTATAAGAAACATTTGTTTAACATGTTCTAATAAGCAGACTTGATTTGCAGTATTAATGTATATTGTAAACAGTTTGAATTCTGTGTAGTGTCGAAGGCTTTCACGGCCGGCATACGATGGCTGGTGTGGGTCTTCCGGGCTGTGTGGCCGTGTTCTGGAAGTTTTTGTTCCTAACGTTTCTCCAGCACCTGTGACCGGCATCTTCAGAGTGCAGGAGCACAGCCTGCAAAAGGTCAACGAACTCAGCTCAACCACCAGGACATGTGAACAGTTCACACAATGAACTTGCTAATCACCCCCAGCAGCCCCTCATTAACAATTCAATAGAAGGGGAAAAAAACAACCCCTGCCTAATCCCCAGGAAGATACACACAGATGCTGACACCAAAACAAGCAGCCACTCAGTAACTCAACCCCCCCCACACACACCCAATCCCCCTTTTCCCCGCCCCCTCAGATCTCTATAAATACCCACAAAAGGGTCACAACACCCTGGGCACGGAGAGAACTGCGCCTGCCTGTGCTCCTGCACTCTCAAGATGCCGGT